ACTTACTATGAAATATTTATACTACTTTTGGAATGGTTTAAAGAAATAACATTCTTTTTTTTTTTTTAATGTTAAATTAGAGTGTTACGTTTATAAAAAGTATACTAAGATTTTTTTCTTTTTTGTTATATTAGAGCGTTACGTTTGGAAAAAATACACTAAAGAGTTTTTTTTTTTTTTTTTTTTTTTTTTTTTTTTTGTGTTACATTAAAGTGTTAAGCTAAGAAATTTTTTTTAGAGTGCTATATTAAAGTGTTACGTATAGAAAAAAAGTACGTCAAAGAGTTTTTTTTGTATGTTACATTAGAATGTTACACTGAGTAGTTTTGTGTATTACATTAGAGTATTATACTAAGGAATTTTTTTAGAGTATTATATTTGAGAAAAGTACACTAAGAAATTTTTTTGTGTGTTACATTAGAGTGTTACACTAAGGAGTTTTTGTGTGTGTTACATTAGAGTGTTACATTGAGAAATTTTTTTGGAGTGTTATATTAGAGTATTACATTTGGAAAAGATACACTAAGCAGTTTTTTTTTTGGTGTTACATTAGAGTGTTATAATAATGAATTTTTTTGTGTGTTACATTAGAGCGTTATGCTAGAATCAGGATCTTCTCCTTGATGTTCCTACTTGACTTCCTACTTGATGGGTCATTGGGCCCATTTTAGTCCTAATTTTGATAATCCGAACAAATCACATTTTAAGATTTGTTGAGTATATCATATCTGTAACAAATCAAGTTGATTGGATATCAGAAAGCATGTGTTCGGAAAACTAACTAAAAACTTTTTTTTTTTAAATTTAATAAATAGTTTTCCGAACACATGCTTTCTGATATTCGATCAACTTAATTTTTTACAGGTATGATATATTTAATAAATCTTAAAATGTGAATGGTTCGGATTATCGAAATTGGGCCTAAAAGTAGGCCTAATGGCCCAACAAGTAGGAAGTCAAGTAGAAACCTCAAGGAGAGAATCCTGATTCGTTGTACTAAGGAGTTTTTTTTTTTTTTTTTTTTGTGTTATATTAGAGTGTTACGTTTGGAAAAAGTACAGTAAGAAATTTTTTATGTGTTACATTAGAGTATTACACTAAGATATTTTTTTTAGTGTTATATTGAAATGTTACGTTTGAGTGTTATATTGGAGTTTTACAGTTTGAAATTGTACATTTGGCCAAAACTTACTAAAGTAGCTTTTGTACTCCTTTTGAAATATTTGAAAAATACCACATCCTTTAGGAATGTTTGAATAATATCATATTTTAAGTCATTTTTGTTTTCCTTTTAAAATATTTTCCAAATAAATAAAATTATATAAAAATTCATCTCAAATTTAATTCACATATAATGTGTACCTACCTTTCTAGCACAAAAGAAAAAAAGAGAAGCAATATAATAGAAATAAGGGTATAACTGTAAATCTAATTTTTAAATAATATATTAAATCTACTTTTGTCAAAATTAGTGGGACTAATTGGTTTATAAAAAAATCCTTAGAACTAAATGGATCACAATTTCTCAATATGGGATTTATAGATAAATTTTTCATAAATGATTAAGTCAATTAATAATTTTTAATGTTATGAGAAATATTTTTCAATAAACAATTTTGATAATTTATTATTGCATAGGAGAATAGTTTTTCCTGAGTATTGTGTTAAATTGAAATTTGTAACAAATGATAGTTATAATTTCTAATATTATAAGACCAATTCGTATTTTAAACAAATTTTATAGGTGTATTTGTAATTTGTTAAAAAGTAAAAAATTTATGTTTTATAATTAATTTAAAATGTTTGCATAATTATGAAAAAAACATGTTTCATAATTGACCAAGAATATTTGCGTAATTATAAAAAAATCTATTTCATAATTGATTAAAAATATTTGTATAATTATGAAAAAAAATTAACTCAACATATAGGTCACTATTAATAAATTATTTAAAATAAAAGGATAAAATAAAAATAAAAAAGATAAATCATGTATAGGTATATGATTCTTATATACATATATATAGATATTGATAAGTGATTCTTATATATATATATATATAGATATATAGATATTGATATAGATATATAGATATGATTGTTTGAAATTTAGAGCGAAAGTCAAGATATTTTAAAAATTTTAAAACAACGCCTGACAAGTCATTTAGCTTGTTTATGTGTAGGGTCCATTTGGGAAGAAGATTTGTGGCTAAAATAGTCACAAAAGACAAAATATGCTATTTTAATCATAATAAACAAAACATCGTATCCAATCTATAATTATTACTCTTTTCTTACAAAAAAAAAGTTAAAAAAATAAAAAAGCCAAAAAATCTTTCTTAAACTAACTTTTTTAGCCCAAATTAAAATAATCAAAAAAAATTAAAAAGTCAAAAAATCAACCAACTTTCTAATAGGAGGTTTAAAGGAATCTCATCCACTCATGCATCTCTTCTTCAAATGAAAGAAAAAATAATTACGTATTATTTTGCTTTCGGATGACTAGGAAAGGCACTAAGGTTAAAAAAAAGGTTAACTTCTTTTCAATCTATGATGAGATTGAAGAATATTATTAAACTTGTAGAGACTTAAGAGGAGTCATGTATTGATAATTTGAATTGTTTAATGTGTATAATTTGTTGAGTATTATATGTTTATAAAAAATTATATTGATCAGATATCGATACCTACGTGATCAAATAGTTTTGTATACAAGAAATGAACGGTGAAAAAATAAATAGTTGACAAAAATTTTATCCGATGAGATAACTATTGATATCTGATTAACGTAATTTTTTACAAACATATAGTACTCGGCAAGTTCTACACACTGAATAGTTCAGATTATTAAAACAAGACCCTTAGTGAGCCCCAGAAACGTAATAGTACCCTTTCAAAAAAAATTGTAATATTAATTTATGATAATATCACCTTACATTATAGAACACACAAAACTTGGGTACAAAACTTGGGTCCATCTATGGTTTTGGGTGTTAGATTTCTGCAGCCGTCTTTTATGTTAGATTTCTTTAATGAGACAATTAATGTTTATACCCCTAAATTATCGTTAAAATATCTATTTAGTTATTAAATTATTAATTAAGTTTATTTATATAAATTAAAATATATTTAATCTTTAAATTATCTATTAAATCTCTAAAATATTTAATTCAAACTTATTTAATCTCTGAAAAGGTTATAAAAATAAAATATATACCCATAAGTATTATCTATATAATAAGGAAGCTCTGTTTTTCAAATCAGATAGGACATCTATCTTAGGTGGCAATGAGATTGAAAGGCTGAGATTAAGTTGAAGGTTGTAATCTTTTACCTTTACCGTTGGATATATACTTCAACTTTGAAACCCATTTCAAACACATTTCAGCATTTTCGTCGTCTCTCTCTTCAAACCCATTTCACTGTTTCTCTTCACCGTTGGATATACCCTTCAATTTTGAAACCCATTTCAAACACATTTCAGCCATTTCACCATCTCTCTCTTCAAACCCATTTCATTGTTTCTCTCTCTTCAAACCCATTTCACTGTTTCTCTCTTCAAACCCATCTCTCTCTCTCTCTCTCTACAGTGGAAAGCCACAGACAAAGCATCGATCGAACGAATTGGGGCAACGATTACACTGAAGATCTCCTCGAATTAGGTCCATTTCTCTCTCTAATGTTCAATATACTTATTGGGTTTTCACTTCTCATCAAAATCTCATAAGGGTTCTCAATATATAATTCTTGGTAAGTATTCCATCTCACACTAATCACCCAACATCTTCTTAAGTCCTCTATTTTCCCTATCCTCAAATGGAAACCAGAGTTGATATTAATGATGAAGAAGAAGTTCTTCACATAGTCATGTTCCCGTGGTTAGCCATAGGTCACCTCATCCCATTCCTCCACCTCTCCACCACCTTAGCCACCAAGGGCCACCGCATCTCCTTCATCTCCACCGACGGAAACCTCTGCCGCCTCCCCCAAATCCCTCTCCGCCTTTCCCCTCTCATCACCTTCATCCCCCTCCCCTTCCCTGCCATCCCCAACTTACCACCCAACGCCGAATCCTCCATGGACGCACCACACCACCAAGCTCAGCTCCTCAAAATCGCCTTCGATTTTCTTAAACAACCACTCTCGGATTTTCTCGAGAAAATTAGCCCGAACCCAGATTGGATTATCTCTGATTACGCCTCTCACTGGCTGTCGGGACTTGCGGCGGAGATGGGTGTTTCGTGTGCTTTTTTCAGCCTTTTTAATGCTGCGACAATGGTGTTTTTTGGGCCTCCGGCGAAGGTGTTGAGCGGGGATTGTGTGAGGAGCAGTGCAGAGGATTTTACGATGGTGCCGAAGTGGGTGAAGATGGAATCAAAAATCGTGTATAGAGTTCATGAGTTGACCAAGTATACGGAGGGCTCACTTTTTGTTATTGCTCACTTTTTCAAATTTTGTTTGTTGTAGTTGGTAATTATCTTCTAAACCAGTAGGATATTCTTGATACTATTTTTCTTCCTTCGGTGTATTGAAATATGATGTTGAGAGTGAGCGCCTTGTAAGAAATTGTACTTTTTGCTGGCCATCCATTTGCCATTTGCATTTTTCAAAATTTTGCTTTGACAACATAAATTTGATTTTATAATTTCATTTAAATATGGCACCTTTGAAATTGCATTGGGAACTTCAATCTTTTTTGAGGGGTTCTGTTTCTGTTGCAGCCAGAAAAGTGTTATGTGAACACTCAAATTTTGATTGATTTTATTTTTCAAATATTTTTTTGATCTAACTTGGTCACTTAGAATATTATTATGTAAATTGTGGTGCAGAGAACTAAAGGTTTGGACACTTCGGAATTGCTTGAGCAGTTGCCAGCATTGCAGTAGCTTCTATTTCGTGTTCTTGGTTGCCAGGTAACTTTTTTTTGCTTCACTCAACTGAATCAAACATAATGCTGTCTAGCTTTCAAATATGGCCTCTTAATGAAACTTTTGGGCAGCCATAGGAGCAACGGTTCATAATTTTGTGATTCAATTAGCACTCTCTATGGTGAGTGGAGTTTATAAACTTTCCCCCTGCTTTGTCCATGGATTTGCACTCTGTTTGGATGGGGTGATTTGGTGAGAAATGATGAGAAATGATGAGAGTGAGAACTCTCTTATTTTGCCTATTTCATTTCTCATCAAAAGTGGTGAGTGAGATTGGTGAGAAACAAGCTGATTAGTTATAAAAAATTTATAATAGTGAGATTGCCCATTAAAATTCCAAGGAAGAAAAATAAGTCTTTCATATCCATCTCACATGCATTGCTTTCATACCCATCTGAGTATGATAGTAAGAAAACACAATCATTTCCTGTCTTTCTCACCCACGATCCCAACGGAGTGTTATTGAAGTAACTTTTCAAATAGAATTCTTTTGACCTGACTGTCCTTACTTTTTTCAACAGGTTGCTTCTGAAAGCATTAAAATCTACAATGCTATCAGTGATGGTGTCGTAAATTTGGTCGACAAGGTAGAATGTGGCTTTGGATTTTTGAATGAGTAGTTTTGTTTTCAGCAAATCATGGATATTTGATAACATGCAATATGACAGTTCTTTGAAATGCAACGACATGATGCTCTTAAGGCTTTGGATATATATCAGAGGTCAGGGAAACAGGTAAATAGTTCTTTGGAATTATTTCTAGCAACTACCTGCTCTTTTTTTATATATATATTATTATTGTTATATGCGTTCTCTCCTTACGGGTATGATCATATCTTCAGGCAGAAAAACACTCCCTTTCTCCCCTTAGTTAGATATGAGGGTCAACTATTCCTCTTTTGGACTCAACCTACTGTAGAACCCACTGCGCTATAGAGGTAACGATCTAATTTATTGAGTTCCATTTAATTGAAATTTTGTGTTTTGGTTATGAGTTGTGGTTCCACATAATGTGTTTGCCCTGTGCGTTTCTAATTTATTTATTTATTTATTTATTTTTACATTTATTATCAGCATTGTGTAGATATATTGTTTTAGATCTATTGTGAAACTAACTTTGGGATTTTGGAGATTGTTGTAGAGCTGCTGATGTGTCCTTGAGTTTATAATAATTATTTTTTGTATTGTTGATAACTGGCTTGGTTATTGTGTTTTCTGTTGTGTTTATTTTAATTATTGCCTAAGAAAAAGAGTAACCATTGTAAGGAAAGAAACCATCTCAATTGTCTTCTCTCTCCATTTATATCTCCGCTATATGTGTCAAGGTATGTCTCTATATCTACTTTCTCGATTAGCTTTTATTTTTTGTTGTATTGTGTGTCTATTATTTGTTACTTTTAGATGCATCACTATAAATATGGTCAGTTTCTTTCAATCTGTCATAGATTCATTGTTGCTGGTATAATTCATTTTTTTCTATTTTATTTTGATGACTAATTTTGAGTTTTTTGGTTATTGTTCAGTGAAGGGATTTTAATTTTTTGTTATGAAGTATATTGTTAATGCTATTTGAGTTTTTTTTCCTTTTTCCAGAGCTATTGTATCTATTGATGGTGTTAAATATGATTTTTAATTATAAATCTGTGTTGGGGGCGTTTGGTGTCAAACACATGCTCAAGAATCATTAAAAAGAAAAAAAGCCACAAAATGGCATAACAGGGCAGAAACATAACACATGCAAATTTGATTTTTTCTTCTGCATAACAGGGCACAAATCAAGGGTGTTGATTGTCATGCTTCTCTTCCTCCAAAATGAGTACTATTGAATTTTTGTAAAAAATTAATGTTCCTTTCTTTTTTTATTAGGTTTTGGATGATGTGTAATTATTGTGTGCTTTATAATTAGGTAATGAGTGCAAAAAATAATGATTATGGCAAATGCTACATGCATAAATCCAAATAAATTTCACTACTCTTTGAAAAAAAGGGCAATTTTCTTGGGTTTCATAGGGTTCAAATTGATTTTTTATTCTATATTTTTCAGATACTTTTGTGTTTGATTCAAAAAGGAAAAGTGTTCCGAGTCTTCAATGAAAGATAGATGCATTGGTTATTGCTTGCGTGAAAGTTTCACAATCTGTTATCAATTTAAGATGAGTAGTTCTCCTTTGTCCACATGGTTTAGTAATTTTATGTTTATTGCAATTTGAATCAAAAGGTGTAGACATGGGT